GTGACAGATAGTAAAAATGAAGGAAGTGGGTACAGACAACAAATATGCCATTTTAGAACAAAAACTGGTTTGATTTTTAAAATACGGTTATTAAGAAGTCAATCCACCCAGCTATCCCTCTGCAGGGTATCTTTCCAAAAGAATTAAAAGAATCATACTATGATATATGGGCTCCCATGTTTATAGTGGCACAGTTACTAATAGCTAAAACTTGGAAACAACCCAAATGCCCATCAACTGGAGAATGGATAAAGATGTGGTTTTTCAATAAAACGAAGTACTACTCAGCCATAAAGAATGAGAAACTAGAAATATTTATAGTGAAATGGATGCACACAGAGGCTATACTCCAGTGAAATAAATAGGACACATGTGAGTAAATACTGAATACTCTCTCTGGTGTGAAAAACTAAAAGTGTAAATAAGGTTCAAATGGTATCATTGGGAGTGTAAAATAGGAAGAAAATGGCTAAAGGGAAAGTGGGAAGGGAAGGGGAAATGAAATAAGGGGAAAGAAAAAATGTGAAAAAAAAGTCAACCATTCAAGTTCAATGTTGGTCAAGTGAATGGAAGATGAGAAAAATAAGTTGCAGGGAGGGTGAGCTGGAAATGCTGAAATAATTCCTAAGGTAGAAAGCTTTCACAAGAAACACAGGTCAGAACTTAGCAAGCAGACACAGGACATGGGAACTAGATTATGAGCAACAATAGCTGTTAATATCCCTCAAAATACTCCCCCTCACTTCACACTTATCCCACTGTTCTCAGCATTTTCTAGCCGTTCTGGAAGTCATTTTTTGGTTTGTTTGTTTTTGAATTAGGGTTTTGCTATGTAGTCCAGGCTGGCCTTGAACTCACAGCAGTCTTCTTGCTTCAGCCTCCCAAATGCTGGGATTACAGCCTGTGCCACCATCCCTGGCATGAAAGTCATTTCTTATGAGTGTCTTCAGTTGCACTGTGTATGACTGCCTTGATGTTCTGAACTGACTTGAAAGATTTACTTTTCATGGTAATTTTGACTCTGAGGAAGAGAGAAGTCACCTGGTGCCAGGTATGGTGAATAAGGTGGATGAGCACAGAACATGATGTTTTTATGAGCCTTTCCACTGGATGGTAACTGGCAGCATGTGTTTGTGATTATACCTCATAAAGACATTTATTAAAGAGGACTCCAGAACTGCTTCAGAAAGCGGCAAGAAAGAGGAATAAGTGTGGGTGAGCATTCTGAGGGTTATTAATGGCATATATTTTTTGTAAGTTAATTTTAAAAAATTTTAAACTTTCATTATTTTTGATCACCTCTTGTAAATGCTAAGAGAGATCAAAACACACAAGACAGATGCAATCGGAGACAAAATAAAGAAAAATAGCGAAGTGTGGTGATTAACATCATCTATTACTATAAGCATTTTAAGTAGATTACAGGTTGAAGAGACACCTAGATAACAATTAGGAAGCCACTAGGAACCTTAAAGAGTGCACTTCAATGAAATGAAATGTCTTGTGATGTGAATAAAAATTAAACATAATGAGCAACAATTATGGTCAGTCTTTTGAAAATTTATGACAAAGAGGAGAAGCGGGGTAGTAGTTTATTGAGAAAGATAAAATTAAGTAAAGGGTTCTCTTGGAAAGAGACCCTTGGACATCTTTTTAGGCACGACAAAGACTGAAGAAATGAGAGGCCATTAAAAATGTTAAAAAATAAAAACCAAAAAAACAAAGCAGGCCAGGGATTTAGCTCAGTGGTTCTGCTGCCTGCCCAGTAAGCACAAGGACCTGAGTTCGATCCCTGGTACCAAAAAAAAAAGTATTTTAAGAATAAACAGATGCATAAGAAAGAGTTAGAAAACACTTAGGATTAAGCCCCTATAAGAAGATAAAAGGTAGTATCTGGGTAGAAACAAAAGCAAATGATGTAAATGAGGGCTGATGGTCTTTATCTTTTTCATGGTGTTAGAAGAAGCATTCTATTTTGGGTATGGGTGGTGGAAAGTAGGAAGTAAATACAAGGCTGTTCTATGAGAATGTGTAGTAAGTGAAGAACAGTGTTAATAAATAATAGAAAATGGGGTGTTTGCTTAGGAAGGAGACAATAAAGCTTTTTAAATTAGAACATTGAGAGGTTTAGGAAAAAACTTTTAAAAATGTTAATTTCTTGGAAAGTGTTTTGTTAAGATAGTTGTATTAAAGGAACTTCTATGAAAAACAATGCTTAAGTAGCTTTGATTAAAAAAACTTTGTTTAAATATGATCTCACATGTACAGAACATTTCAAAGAATAAACATTTAAAAGAACACCTATACTTCCTTTTCACTTATTGTTGGCTTTTGGGTTGGGTACTGGGAACTGAACCCAGGGCCTTCACACTGAGCTATCCCCAGCCCTTTAAAATTAAAAAAAAATTTTTTTGGAGGTAGTTTTGCTAAATCACTAAATTGCCTACCCAGGCTGTACTTGAACTTGTGATCCTTCTGTCTTAGCTTCTCAAAATGCTGAGGACCACAGGAGTGGACCACTAACTTTCATATCCATTTGTTCACATGCACACCCCATCCCCCCATTATTTTCTGATCCATTTGAGGGCAAGTTACATATGTCATGACTATTTACCCCTAAATACTTATGTATTTCTTAAGAATAAAGATACTGTCTTATAGTACTACATTTTACTAAATTTAACATGAAAATTTTATCTAGCCTATCATCCATTTTCCAATCTGCCAATTGATTCAGATTTTTTTTTTTGTACTGGAGATTGAACTCAGAACTTTGCAATTGTGAGGCAGGCACGATACCACTGAGCTAAATCCCTGGCCGCAGAAATGATCTTTATACCTTCTTCCCCTCTGGTACAAGATTCTGTCTAAGTTCAGGCACTGCAATTAGTCATTATGACTTAAAAATACATATTTTTAATAGTAAATTAAATGGATGTAAGAACTAAATTTCGGTAATGAAGGAAAAGGATAAAACATGATTATGAGTCTTTGATTCCTGGTTCTATTAATAAGACTTTCTCTGACTAAACTTATACCTTTATCTCCCACTACTTTAGGTAGATTCTATGGTGCTCTGTAAGCCAGTTCTTTGTTTCAAGGTCTGGAAGGCTGACCCAAACAAAGAAAACTAAAATAAGATGGTGTTGCTTATATAAAGGTGCAGTTAACTATATTATTTACATGGCTTTACATTTATCCTGTCCCTACTCAGATGGTAAGTTCCACAAAGGTGAGACTTTTGTTATCTGGCTTATTCCATACTGTTACCTGTGTTGTTCAACTAGGTACTCAGAAAACAAATTACAGAAAGCACACCTGAAGGCTTCTGATGATATAATCTCAACCACTGTTAAGTAATTTCTGAGCAACCACAGAAAATTATACAAATGCCAACCAACTGATCCAGCCAAGATTTGCCAGGAAAATTTGTATCTCAAAACTCCTGAGGGCCGGGGATTTAGCTTAGTGGTTCGGTGGCCTGCCTTGCAAGGGCAAGGACCAGAGTTCAATCCCTGGCACCAAAACAAAAAAACAAAAAAAAACCCTCCTGAAACTATTATTTAATGCCAGTGACCAAAATCCAAGGAAAAGTTAAGTAGTAATTATAAGGAGTATCAAACTTGATACTTTAAAAACTTCCCAACAAAAAACAAGTAAGAATATCTATAATCAGTAAGTCGAGTTTTACAAACATCAATTTTCAAAATGTATTTCTCTGCAAAGCATAGTACACTGGACTGGACATTACTTTCTATCAAAATGGGGTGAGAGGAAAAGACTGGCAGAAAGGCAAAACATGCTGTCAAATAATATTATAGTGGGAAAGTCTGGGAAATACTATTAAGACTTAGCAATGCCTCAGGGATGTAAAAACTTAAGTTGTAGAGTGAGGGAAATTAATTTGAAGAGGTAAATTAGTGGAAAGTTTTGAATCTACTATAAAATATTTTTTCTGGCTTTGCTACTGTTTATTAATGATAACTAGTGTATCAATATACCATCCAGGTACACAAAAAATATTTTTAAAGTTTATTTTAAAAATCAAATTATACTATCAACACATGATCATTACATTAAATTTGGAAAACAGAAAAACAGAATATACAACGTAAAAATCACCAATAATTCCAGCACCAAAATACAACCATGTTTAGCATTCTGTTGTACTTTTCTTGTTCGTTTTCCTTAAGCACATATGTAAATATAAATGCTTTACTATATAAACAATTTTATACCCTGTTTTTGAAATCTAGTATTGTTACGCACAATCTGCTACTTCAAAAATCATGTTTTTAATGGTTGCATCATATTCCATCCTATATACAAATTATAATTCATTCAGAATATCTATGCTGAAATCTTTTGTGTTTGGGGGGGGATCAAACCCAGGGCCTTGAATATGCTAGGTAATCTTCATCCCTTTAAATATTTTTCTTAAGAATGATTTCCAGAGATAGGATTACTAAATAAAAGGATCTAATAAACATTTTAAAAAAAGTTCTTACCACATGTTGTTTGCTTTCCAGAAAGACGCATTTTAAATTTGCTGTGCCATACATTAACATCATCAGAAAATATTATTTTGTTAATTTTTCCTCACTAAAAACTTAATACGTAACTAAAACTAAAATCTATATAAAATGAACACCTTACTATCAATCTGAACAACTGAGCAAAATTTCATGAGACTACTTTAGACACCCATGCAAGCAAATTTAAGTCACTGAAGCATCAAAAATATAGTCCTATAAAAAGGATCTAGAAGATACTATATAACATTGTAAGTAGTGTTTTTATCCATATAGTAAAAATAGAATAGTATTCTCCATGCTCCTATTCAAAAAATTATTAAGTATTCTGTCCAAGTATTACTGTAAATAGAAATTGAAATATAAGGAAATTAAAAATAATAAAATGTAACACACACAAGCCTGAAGAAAGTGCAAAATAAGGTGTTAACGGTAAGATAAGAAAACATTTTTTGGATGACACAGTACCTGATTAGAACTGGCTTTTTCAAGTCGGTCAATCATAATTTCAAATTGCAAAGGCTTAATTTCCATCTTTCTGTTAAGTCTATTTAATAAGGTTTCATCTTCTGAATCCATATCATAATCTGGTTGTTCATTGTCTAGATTAAAAGCTAGAAAAGAAAAGAAAAATCTTCAAACTGAGAAATTAGTTATAAGGTGTTTTATCATATTTCACCACAGACTACTTATAAATTTGTATACATTAACCAAAGATTCACGAGCAGATAGTTTGTTTCAGAGACTAACTGCACAGTAGGAAAAAAATCTGCTTTAATTATGCTTTAAAATTATGAAGAAGTAAAAAAATTAAGAAATTGCTTTTTAAAGTATCACAGATACATGACGAATAAAATAGCAATTATAAAAAAAAAATCAACATGGTAGTCTGGTAGCATAATGAGAAGTCATGGAACAAAATTAAGGATACCCAAATGAACTGAAGTACATAGTGTCTGATGAAAGTAGTGTTTTAAATCAGTGAAGACAAAGGTAAAAGAGATTATGGAAGAAAAGGAAAAAGAGACAGATGGCATTTAGATTAGTTAAGTCCCCATACTAACACCAATAAATGCATTATCAACAAAGATTTATAGAAAAAAATGAACCTGATAAATCATAACTTAGAAATTGCTGGGGGGGAATGCTGTATGGGCAGGTACAAATTCAAAAACCATAAATTTAATTAAAAATAATTGGGCTATGTAAAAATTAAAAACTTACAAATTTTAACAAACTAAGTCAAAAGAAAGAACTGAGAAAAAACAAAACACATAAAGAGTGAATTTTCTTAAGATTTCTTAAAGATTAAGAAAAAACTGAGTAACAACAAAATCAAGAAAATAACTTTTACTGGATAATAAGTATCAATGACTTGAATATGAAAAAGAATCTTCATTTATAACTGCACAGATGCAAACAATGTAAGGACATAATGCTTTTCACTCATCAGACAGATCAAGATCTAAAAAATTTGATAATATAGGATTTTGGAATATAAACTGATAGTTCATTTAATTAAAATATATTCTCTCAGACTTGGCAGTTCTAGTTTCAGGAATTTCTCCTATAAACTTACACTGAAACAAAGATATATACAAGAGCATTAGCTGTGACACTGTAAGAAGAACAGAAAGCAATATATACACAGGATTAGATAAGTGATAAGTTATACATGCATAGAATACAGGCTGAAGCCCTGAGAAACAGTGACAGTGACCTATTTATATGGAATGAAACTGAAGTGTATGAAGTGAAAAGTCTGAAGTGTGTATAGTGCAGTATGAGGTATTTTTAAAAGAACATAGATACATACACATAAGGTGTATGAATATGTTTGGAAGTGCACAGAGTATTTTTGAGAAAGGATACTCAAGAAGCTGATAATAGGCCAAGGAGACTATGGTAACAACGATTCAATGATGGCAGAGGGAATTAAAATTTTCTCCTTGCTTCCTTTTGTATTGTTTAACATTTTGAGCATGTACATGTATAAACAGTTTAACTCAATGGGGGGAAAAACTAAACTGTCACAAACTATGCTTTGAAACCATATGACAAGTTTTAGAGCAAAGCAGTGAAAGAGATACATATCACCAACAGGATGGCTAATTAAACTCCGCTTGTACACCCATTTATAAATGAATAGCCTACATTCATACCACTTGAAATATCCTGGTACTCTTAGATTAAGCATGACATTCTTAAAGGTAGTTTATGACACAGTAAGAGAAAACAGAAGTGTGTATGTATATTTATATGATTTTAGTACAATGTCTCTTTCTACAAATGGCATTGGAGGACTTAAACACTGGAGGCATTTACTTTATAATCAGTAACTGACTACATCCCATACATTTAAGCTCTGGCTCATTTGGGACAGGAGGTGTTCAATGTGCTTTACATATACTAATCTGTGACAATATAGTAGGTAGCATTTTATCTCAATGAGCCTTGTCTTCTAAAAATTTAAAATGTTATTACATTTAACTTGTATTACATAATACACAACAAATTCACAGCTATTGGTGAACTAATGACAGATTATTTTGCATGGTTCACTTTAAATATTCCTGAAAATAAAATGCATTTTCCTCTTATATATTGCTCTTATTACATTATTACCAACAATTCAAAAGTATGCTTTAAAAAAAATTAATCCAATCTATGTGAAACTTCTAAAAACTGTATATAGATTACTAAAAATTACTTTTCCTTCCACACAACGTTGTTGTATTTGTAAATGCACATAATGAATGTTCAATGATCTGCCTTTAGTCCACAGACTAATAACAAATAATTAATAAAATCAGGTAGTTCAGACAACTAGAAGATATCTTAGATAAAGATTGTTGAGTGCTGAACAAAGTTAACCCAATATACTAATTTCTAAGTTAAACAGAAAATTTTGAGAGTTCAAGGGCAAGGCTATATATAAAGATTTTGCATGACCATCTTTTACACACCTACCTAATCTTACTTACCTCTTGTTCCTCCACCTCCTATCTGCTCTATCTTCTTATTCCTATTCTTACAAAAGCCAGTGCCCCAGCTTGTGAGGCAAGGAAAGGGACAAGAAAAGCTGGGAAATAGTTTAGAAAAATTAATAGTGAGAATTGATAAGGAGATCTGACAATGTGTTATATTAGAACCAGGGCAAAAGACTTGTATTAGCACCACTATTTTTCTTTTTATTAAAAATAATTATACAAGAATCATTACAGACTTAAGATATTCTAAACCAGGTGCAGCTGCTTCATTTGTACCTCTTATTACCTAACGTTATACAGATTATCTCCCCTATCAGACAAAAAAGACAAATTATTTAAAAGCAATGCTTAATTCAGTCATGTGTGTATTCCTCCATGAAGTACTTAAATGAAAAAAGTGAGTACTAAGAGCTATTAAAATAACATTTCTTAAATATAAGATTCTTTTAAACTATAAGCAGAATATTCTGTAAGCTTTATTGATACTTCATTTTTGAAACCTAGAAAGATTTTTCCTGCTAACAGCCAAATATTATAAATAGTGGGTTAATTCAACAGGCCAGTCAACCAAGGAAACAAGTACCCCCCCAAAAAATATACAAGAGAAGAAAAGGAGGCAAGGCAGTAGAGTTGAAAATTTCTTGATGTGGCAGAACAATAAAATTAAGATATGAACAAGGTTAATGAGGAATATGTCTGTATAGAAGACTTTGTGGTGATGTTAACTAAGCAATAAAGAACAGAAAAACATGAGAGAATTTAAAGATGTGCATGATTATCATTATGAGAAGGAAAAAGAAGTGGGAAAGAAAACAGACTGGAAAGTTCTCTGCACCAATCAAGAGAGTTTGTTTGCTCTGGCAGGGAGTGCAACAGCTTTTGTGTAGATAAAGAAGTAGATATAACTTCTAGTAGAATATAAAGCTTTCATAAGTTGACTGGTTATCACTTAAGAGAATATACAGTTAAGTCTAAAATTTGCTGGTAAAACAAGTATTAGTTTTAGTGAAAAGTACACTTCAAAGTCCTTTACTACTTGGCCATATTCATACATAATTATCTAAAAAGCACCAATGTCTAATGGAATGAAAATACCGTCAAGAAGAAAAAATAATACAAGGAAATTTCCCAAAGCCAAAATATGGCAAAATGTTCTCAGATTAAAAAGGACCTAGCTTGGTACAAAACTGAGTAGTATGCAATTTAATGCAGCACATATTGAGTCAGTTGTTCTTATGAATGAATATGAATTAGTATTATTACATTTTGTACCCATTACTTATTGTACTGTTAAGGGCAAATACTTATTCCTCATCTTTCCATTCAAATGTTCAAGAGGGAAAAATATAGAAAGGATATTTTGAGTTTCTTGCTACCCTTTCATGGTCTCATCATTTTGACTGGTGAAGGTGAGAGGAAGCCTACATCAGCACAGAACTTTCTGGGTTCAAGTTCTCTTGTAATTCCTTCTTCCTGCCCAGAGGCTGCTTTCTAGTCAGCCCTCCACTGCATAGTAAGTGAGGAACCTGACTGCCCCTACGGGGAAGACTGCAAGTCAGTGAACTACTGTAAGGAAAAGGTTGTCTAATTCAGAGGTTAAATATTAGAAAGTTCACTGAAAGGCATTTATAGCCTACTTTCTAATATTTACTAATCTTTTTCTGGTTATTTACAAAACAGCATATTAATACAAGTACCAACATACTGGATAAAGGCATTCAAAAGTACTTTAAATTCAAGACTTTACACTAACAATGAAAATCCACATTGATCTTTCTTTACTTAATCTTGTAAATTCAGAACTCTGCATAAACCCACCTCTATCACTGTGTCTGCCTGGTCCTTGGACATTCTTCAGCCATGTTTGTTATTGTTCCATAAGAAACTACCATAAATGAGTAACTCATCCTCAAGTAAGGTTTAAAGCATACCCGGGTCAGATATCCTAACAAAAATGTGAACACAGAGGTGACTTCTGGTTACGTAAGGCAAAATGACCACATGCTTATCTTGAAATTTCAAACAAAAAGGAAAGGGGACCCCACACCCCCCCGCCAAATGGTACACATCGGGTGAATATGGTAAAGATTATCAATCTTATTTTCAGAACCATAAAGGACATGATAAGCAGATAAGAGAATACTAAAGTACCAGAGTTGGGAGAGAGAGCAGAGAGCACAGATAAAAAAGGAAACTTCCCTTTCTCATCTGAGCCTCAAAAGAGCTGAAATCAAGTTACTCTTTGAAAGGGTAGCAGGTAGGTAATTTCTAAAATAGGGAGATGGGCTGGAAATTTTTATACAGATATCTAGACCTTTCCCTTTTCTAGTGGAGCTTGACAACTATTTTTTCTCTCATACTATCAGCCTGTGGACTGTGGAGCACCAGGCACAATGAAGACAAGTAGAAGTCTCCATAGCAAAGGATAATAAGTGAAAAAGTCTATGAGATTTATGATGAAATTTCTCACCACAGCCACCCAGCTGCTCTATCCCCAACCCCCAACTCTGCTATAAGAATAAAAATACTGCCAGACACTCAGGAACAAAACTGAAGAATTCCATTATGGGAAAACTGATTCCCGGAAAAAAAATTATCACATATATGGCCTTATTAAAATATAA